CTGCATCCTCTTCTTCTTTGTCATCTCCTCCTTCTTCTTCTTCTTCTTCTTCTTCTTCTTCTTCTTCTTCTTCTTCTTCTTCTTCTTCTTCTTCTTCCTTCTTCTTCCTCTTCTTCTTCTTCTTCTTCCTCTTCTTCTTCTTCTTCTTCCCTTCTTCTTCCTCTTCTTCTTCTTCTTCTTCTTCTACTTCCCCTTCCTCTTCTTCTTCTTCTTCTTCTTCTTCCTCTTCTTCTTCTTCTTCTTCTTCTTCTTCTTCTTCTTCTTCTTCTTCTTCTTCTTCTTCTTCTTCTTCCCCGCGCCGACTGAGACCTGACCCTCCCTTATCTTCATTGTCCATATTGGGACGTCGGCAGGCTCGTTCAGTATCCCCTCCTCCCAGTCCCCCTCCTTCTCGGCGTCGTATTGATGGTAATCTGCGGGGTTCTTTGTCTTACCGGCAGCCTGCTCTACCACGTCGACGACGTTCGTAATTTACGCGCCGACCCCACCAGATCAGATCTGGCTTTCCAGTGGTGACTGATTCGGATCTGTGTGCAGACCTATCAAATATTTGTGGTTTGACAGCCACAAATGTCTGCCTACAGGCTTCTCAGCGTCAATGTTATACTGCATCCCAATTTGTTACGATTGCTTATCAGCTTGACGCTGTTGAAAATCAGTTGTTGTATGCTCATAATAGTCCACCTCCTGAAGGCAGTAATTATACTACCTCAGGAGGCTTTACTGTAAATGTCTTACAGTTAGCGTTTCACGGCCGCCACCTTCTTATGCATCATGCGACGCCAGGCGATGACATCAATAACCATCCTCATATTTCTGCCTGCATTTTAGACGGACCCGGGCATTATATGGCACTCATTCGTGCAGCTGCCCAGTGGGAATTGTGGGATGGTGGGACGATGAGTCAAGCTATTTTTGACGTTAATGAATTTTTGGGTGCATTGTCAAATCATACTTTATTCTGGATTATTGACCGACTCTCGTGTGACACCTGTCGGGACAGTGATGCGGTGCGCCTTGGCTGTGGAATGCATCATCTATGCCATAGCCATTACCAATCTATTGCGACTGCTGCCGTCTGTACTGAAGGGTGTCCAACATTTCCTCATTGTACACATCCCTGTCACCCAGATATACGTTGTCCCTTTTGTGCCCCAGGACGCTATCAGAACTGCATGATGCCGCACTGTGATGACCGTCCTGCTGTTTTTTTGACCTGTGGACAACATGTCCTCTGTCAGGACTGTTTTGATGGGATGGTTCGTGCTAGCCGTCCTGCTGAATGCTGTGCTGGCGCAACTCTCCTTGGGTATCCTTGTGAACATCCACATCATCCTCACCGTAGCTGTCCTATCTGCCGAGGTGGGAACAGTTAAAGAAAAAAAGAAAAAAAAGAGAAAAAAAAAAAGAAAATAAGGAAAAAGAAAAAATATGTTGATCTATGGGATGTGTTATTTGCTTTGTGACAATTGGATTATCTGTCGGATGTGTCATTTGCTTTGTTTCTCTGTCAGGAGGTTTCCTCCTCCTTTTCTTTACCTCTTTGCCTTTTGGTTGCGTACGAGTGGGTCCTTGTGACACACTGGGATGGGGGCAGCCAGCGCTCAACCTGTCATCCACGTGGCTGGCCTTGTACGTAAGAGGCGATGAACAGGTGGGGCTTTCCTTCCTTCCTTCTTTTCCTTTCCTTCTTTTGCCTTTTTCCGCCTTTGCGCTCCGATTCACAGTGTGACAATATATATATAGAGAGAGAGAGATATGGGGGTCCAGAACCCCTAATAACACCACCAACATCCCCATAGCGGCCCCCAATACCCCCATACACCCCCCCAACACCCCCAAACC